AGATTTCTTTTATCCATTTCTCCTCAATCTTCAGATCTTTAGTTGGAAACAGTGAGGACAGGATCCCCAAGGTGTTTTGTAAGACTTGTACTGTTTTTCTCAAGACAGCTCCTCTGCCTCATCCTCAGTATTGTCCCTGCCTCGGGGACACTGAAATAGCGTCCAGAGCCTGTATTCTAACTCGGATCTTATGCCATGCCCCCCCATCCTGCAAGGCCGCATTGGTAGCATGGCTAACACTCGCTTTCCTCCTGTTCAAGCCTGTTTTCTTCTGCAATAAAAGGACAACAGATGGGGCCCTAGAACCTGACTCAAGTCTCTCATGTCCCTTCCAGCCTCACCTTCCTGCCGTTACATCTCCCTTAGGGTTGCTGCAGCTTTCCGTCTGAGCTGGGGGCACAGGGCAGTTACACGCCACTTGCCTCCTGTATATAAGGCCCGGGGTTCAATCCCTTATCTCGAAAAACAGTTTTTCTTTTTCCGATTCCAGTGCCTCCTTTGTGTGATCTGTTTTAAACCTTGCCCAAGCAATGTGCCTAAAGCAGAACTCTAATTTAATTCCTATTCCTGAAGATGTAAGTGGCATTCCCAGTTTGACACAGAACAGCGCCTCCGATCCCATACACTCCAAGTGAACCCCCTCCAGCGTTTCTTCGTTCAGTTCCCATTGTTCTCGTGTCAATCAACGCGGCTCTGCTTCCTTGTTATCTGATGGGGTCCTCTGCTCCTCCTCTCCCTTAGAGTAGCTGCGTTCCTTCCTGTGTTCCTGCAATCTTTTCCTGTGCTCCTGTCCATAAACAGACCTCCATCATTCTTACCACGTTCTGTGCTTGAAGACAGCTCACCTTGTTCGCTGGAGGGTTACCACATCTAGGAAGAATGCCTTACCTGCAGTGGATAAATGCTTGCTTGTTAAGTATCTTCTACGGGTCCCTGGAAAGTATCTTCAGTACACATACTCTGGAGGCTGTGCCACTTTCAATGTCACGTTCTAAATGGAAATCTCTGGTGTTTTTCCCTTACGAGAAAGGTTAGTTCAGTCGAGGAAAGAATCTTAAGAAGGAAGACGAGTTTATGTACCACACTGCAAAGACAGCAGTGGTCCTGACAGTGAACCTGCCTGCTAGGAAACAAACGAAACAAAACAAAAAATCCAACAGAGTATGAAAATATTCTTTTTCCTTTGGGGTGCGGAGTGGAAGGAGACAACATTCCCTTTCATAGAATTTCTTGCTACATGTGAGAACCGGTTTCAAAAATACTTTTTAAATGACTTTTAATGTTTTTCTCAAAACTGTTTTTTACTTAAAAGGGATAATGGTTTGTATCTTACTGTTCATATAAAGATGATTTATAAATAAAAATAGCATTGTAAATAATGTTAATATGTATTATAATTTATACAGAATAAATTTACTATAATATCTACTGCTGGTGTGGAGTCCTTTGCTGGGGGATGTCTTTCTGTATGCTGTAAATATATGTTGTTCTCATTGGTTAATAAATAAGCTGCTTTGGCCTATGGCAAGGCAGCTTAGAGGCAGGAGGGAAATCCAAGGAGAGAGACAGGAAAGAGAAAGGCAGAGTCTGGAGAGATGACAGCCTGCCACCCAAGGAACAACATGCCAGCAGACTGGTAAAGCCACAGAACATACGGCAAAACATAGATTAATAGAAATGAGTTAATTTAAGATATAAATGCTAGCTAGCAAGAGACCTGCCATAGACCATATAGTTTGTAAATAATATTAAGCTTCCGAGTGATTATTTTATAAGTGGCTGTGGGACCACAGGGCCAGGCGGGATGCAGAGAAACCTTCTGACTACAGTCAGTCCTTTATTTTTTGACACTGTGTTATCCAGACTGGCCTTCAGTATTCAGACCTTCCACCTCAGCCTTGTTAGTAACTGGGATTATAGGCATGTGCTGCCAAACCCAGCTTCAACGAAGTCTTCTAAGCCATACTTTTAAAATGAACCGCACCAGCCCCCTTTTGCTAAAGTATGACCAAGGGAGACGTGTCCCTACCGTAACGTCCCCAAAGTGGTTTATGTGACCAAGACTGATTTATTTGGTTAGTTGGTTTTGAGATAGGGTCTCACCCTGTAGTCCAGGCTGGCCTAGTATTCATAGCAATGTTCCTGCCTCAGCCTACAAAGTAGGCATTACGAGCATGAGCCACTATGCCTGGCCTAAGTTTTAATAAGTCAACTTCTTGTGACTTAAGTTCTGTAACTGGAGAAGCATCCCTTTGGGCATGTGTATTAAGCACCGAGAATAAGAAAACATGGCTTTTTTCTTGAACCCAGTGTTTTTCCATCTTTGGGACCAGCTTCAGGTTATTGGAAGGGCTACATTGTGGCCAAACCAAACACCACCTAAAGGTAGAGGTAGACTTTCAGAGAATTAAGTATGAAACAATTCTAATTGCTAGGGAAGGTTGCATGTCCCTTTTCTATGTCTAAATACTTAATTCCAATGGGAAATGGTGGCACTTTGTTTTAAAAAGAGACACAGCCCAGGCTACCTTCAAACAATGTAGCCATGGATGGCTTTGAGCTCCTGTTCCTTCATCCTCTGCCTCCCAAGTGCTGGGATTACAGGCATGAGGTACCAGGAACACAGGGGACAATTATTCTGTCCCGCACACCAAAGATTTGGTCCCCTACCGCCGCCGCCACCACCACCCCTCAATTTGGGTTTCTGCTCTGAATCTGGTTGCTTTTCTACAGTGCTTATCTAGATGGGAATTTCCGGATCACCTCTTAAAAGTCTGAACCACACAGTACTTAGAACGCAGGGCAAAGCTTCCTGCCACAGGGGACCCCTGTCAGGACTTGGTGTTCCATTAGTGGCCTTTCCTTTTGCAAATCTTTATTGACCATCAGGAACTGTTACATACATATCTGGAGATACATCGCCTAGCAAAATAAACAAAAAGGAGCCCGAAGAACACAGCATACACAGTAGCAGTTGTATTCTTGCTTTTTACTAAAAACGTCCAAGTACAATTTGATGTGATTTTTGCCTCAGCTTGTTCTCATAGTGCTGGGAGGCTGTATGTGACTGTATGTGACTGGGTTCTACCCAGACTGCTTAGCACTCTAAACTAATCTAAGAGAGTGCTTATAAAACAAAGTCCAGTTTTCCAGAGATTAAAGACATCTATCCCAAACTGATTAGGTTGCTTATTATTACTCAAAACGTCCTTTCAGGGACTGGAGAGATGGCTCAACAGTTAAGAGCACTAGCTGCTCTTTTCTAGGACCCAGGTTCAGTTCCCAGCACCCATGTGGCCACTCACGACCATCTGTAATTTCAGATCCACAGGATCTCCACGTCCTCCAGGCACACTTGGGGTGCACAGGCATACGGTGCGGGTAAAACACCCATATAAATAAACTTCAAGGGCTGGAGAGATGGCTCAGAGGTTAAGAGCACTGACTGCTCTTCCAGAGGTCCTGAGTTCAATTCCCAGCAACCACATGGTGGCTCACAACCATCTGTACTGAGATCTGGCGCCCTCTTCTGTATACATAATAAATAAATCTTTTAAAAATAAAAAATAAAAAATAATAAACTTCAAAAATCCTACAGCACTGGAGAGGAAAGGCAGGTGGGTCACGAGTTAAAAGACATGTCTGGGTTTCCAACAGGCCCGGTTTCAAAGACTTTGGTCTTTTTCTTCTTTCTTTTAAGATTTTTTTGCTTTAAGCCGGGCGGTGGTGGCGCACGCCTTTAATCCCAGCACTCAGGAGGCAGAGGCGGGCGAATTTCTGTGAGTTTAAGGCCAACCTGGTCTACAAAGGAAGTTCCAGGACAGGCTCCAAAGCTACATAAAGGAACCAAAAAAAAAAAAAAAAAATTTTTTTTTTCCTTTAAGTGTAGTGTGTTTGACCTGCACACGTGTTTGTGCACCAGAAGAGGGCACCAAATCCAATGGAACCGGAGTTACACAAGGTGGTGTGACCCGTCCTGTGGGTGCTGGGAATCAAACTGAGTTCCCTTGGAGGAGCAGCAAGCACCCTTCACCACCGAGCCATCCACGCGGCCCTCGGTAGTCGTTTCTGTCTAGGGATGTGAGTTTGGGTACGTGCCCAGCACGGGTTGCAAGGAGTTGCAGGCTGACGCTCACACTCGATGCTGCTGCTCCAGCCTCCCCAGGACGTCGGACCTGACCGGCGGCGGCGGCGGCGGTACCCCTCCACACCTGCAGGGGGCAATCGACTTCCAGCCCGGCCGCCGGGCCGCCGGGGGGCCCCTCGGCTTCACCCAGGGAACGTCACCGCGGCCGGCCGCGGCT